AGTCGAATTCGAGTTACTAACTTTTCATGGTCAAATAAAGTGGTTGGATTCATGCGGATTGAAGGAGGTTGTAGAATTCAGATCAATTTTAGAAGCTTTAATTTAAACTCATATACTAAATTTGCGACAAAAGAGTATAATATTACGTTAATATAACTCCTTTCATTTTCCTAATATTCTTTTCTCTGAAGTCTTACTCTTATGGACCCCCTTCCACTAAGATGTAAATAAGTAAGAAGCTGAACAGTTTGTATGAAAAAGAGTACATTCTATTCTGGGTTGCATTTTTTGCAGTACAAAAATAAAGGTTGAGGGGTTTGAGTTTCCAAACAATCTTTAGTGACAAAATGCGGAGACACTTTGATGACATTTTTCAGAAATGAAGCATGAAAATAGAAGTTGTGTGTGACAATTGACTGAAAGAGAGAGCATTTATTTCTGTTTTTTTTTTTTTCTCTCATGTGGGATGAGATTTTGGGCTGGCTTGCAATTGCTGGCCTTTTTTCTGTATGCTGCTTGCTTGTTCTCTTGTTCAAAAATGGAAGGGAGTTTATTCCTCAAATTTCTCGCTTTATTTATCAGGAGATTCATAAGTTACTAGTATTAAATTAAATATGCTTCAAGGATTTTTTTAGCTACGACTTGGGATTTTAATAGAAGTGAAAAAAATTGATTGAACTTGAAAATTTCTCTAGATTAGTTTAAGATTGAACATGATGTAATTCAAATTGGTTGAAAAATGTAAAAGATATGAATATAAAAAAAAATTAAACTCAAAACAATTCAAGCCTAACACGATACTAATATGAAGTAGTTTGAAACTGAATCAATTTGAATTCGAAATAATAAAAAAAAAAATTAACAATTTGAACTTAAGATCGAAATAATAAAAAAAAACAACAATTTGAACCTAAGATCAATTTAATCTGAAATTTGACAAGATTATAATTATGTTAACCTGAGTTTGAACAAACTCAAAAATAATTAAGTTTGAAATGACTTAAATTCAAAATAACACGAACCTAGGATATCATGAATAATGATTCAAATCTGAAAATGTCTAATTAAATTTAATCAATCGAAACCTAAATAACTTAAATTTGAAAGCACAAATTCGTTCAATTACCACCACTAGATCCAATAATTCTAACTTTTTATTTTTGATGGTGTTAGGAGTGTTTTATAGTCATAAGGGTATTATGGATTTTTTTTTCTTTAAAAAGTGATTCATCAACAAAACAGGATTAACTTTATCATTTTGACCGATCAAATGTGTCGAGCTGACCTAAAGTCTCAAGACTCATGTCAGCTCTAGCCACCTCAACTTCTCATTTGAAGGCATATAAAAATGTTAACTCATCATCCCCTAATTGGACTATCATCTACTAGATCAGGTGGTCTAGCAATGTCAACCCTAAACCCACTACTCAAAGCTCAAGTCACCCAGGTCTAACACTCACATCCTACAAGTATAACTAGCCCCCTCACTCCAAGAAGATTTATTCAATTTCCTCTCTCTTCTTAAGATTTTTCTCATTTTTTCTCTTCTCAGGCACTAACTTGAGTATCGAAACAAAATACCGAAAAAACCCTCTGACTTTTGCTTTCAATTGACCTTTTGAACTTGTGATTTCAAAATGTTCACCTCGTTAAATAGCTTAGCCCAAACATTTTGGTGTGTCAGGTAGGGAGCCTTTGTCTATTCAACCAAACTAATCATGCCTTGTAAGAAAAAAAAAGTTGTCGATGAAAGAGATAATGCTGTTGCAGCTAGAACTAATACTCAATTTAGCCAACAAAACCTTCATTGACCTAATAAATAGCCTTAACAGTGAAGCAATTCGAAGCTTCACCCAATACCTACAGTCACTAAAAGAGTTGATATTGACCTTGACTCTATCATAGACCTTAAAAGAACCAAACCCTATAGCCTTAAGAAATCCACAAACATAAAAAGTTGTCGACCTACAATGATAGTATTGCCTCATCGACCTTTGAAGATGACGAAACCCCCAAAGCTATTACCCCACAAACTCCCAAACATAAACCACAACCTAAAAATCCAAATGGCTACCTCGAAACCACCACTTAATAGGGACTTAGAAGCTTGGATTGAAGCAATGAAGAAAGAGTTTAAAAATAAAGCCTCCATATTTGAATATAAGCTCAAGATTCTAGAAACATCCATTTCAATAAGGCTATTGACCAAGCCTTGCCACCAAAAGGATTTAAGAACCCCATTGTTGAAACTTATGATGGTATTATTATCTCTTTTACCATCTTGAGCTTTATAAAAATCCAAATAAGCTACCTCAAAACCACCACCTAACAGGGACTAAAAAGCTTGGATGGAAGCAATGAATAAAGAGTTTAAGAATAAAGTCTCTATGTTTGAAGATGAGCTTAAGATTCTGGAAACATCCTTTTTCAATGAGGCTATTGACTGAGCCTTGGCACCAAAGGGATTTAAAAACCCCATTCCTAAAACTTATGATGGTACCATTGATCTTTTTGACCATCTTAAGTTTTTTAAAACTAACAAATTGATACAAGGAGCCAATGAGCCTTTGGTGTGTAAAAGACTTACCATAACTCTCAAAGGGGTAGTTCGATCATAGAACACCAACTTGGAATTAAAATTAGTCTCAACCTTCAAGCAACTTGGTCTTTTTTTTCTAGCCCATTTTGTTAGTAGCTAATGAACAAAGAAAACCATTCTGAGCTTAATGTCCATTTTCCAATGACGGAACAAATCCTTGAAAGAATATGTCACGTGTTTTAAAGTTGAAACTCTTCAAGTGAAAGATCTTCACTGTTTAGAATGTAAAACTCTGAATCATAAACTTACTAACAAAATTTCAGCTCAATCGGATCATAAATCGACTTTCGTTCAACCAACTTTTCCTTCTTTATTTTCTTTTTATTTTTCTAACTTCTTTTTTTTTCTCCTTTTTTTTCTAGGATTGTGGTGCCACCTTCTTTTATTAAGTAACTAGAGTTCTGTGTAAAAAGAAAGAATAAGGCCCATGGCATTTTATTGGTCCAAACCCAATTACATGGGGTTGGATCCCATTTTCCTAACAGATTTTAAATTAATTAAATAAATAATCAAGAATGATTATTAATAAATATATTAATTAAACAATATCTAATTATATATAAATAGATAAAAAAAAATTTTTTAGCATTTTATTGTATCCAATTAAGCTCAAGCTCATAGCAATTATTTATTCTCAACCAAGTTTAAGATAAAATTACCATATAAATACAATAACCCTCAAATCAATATGACATAGAGAATGTGTTTGATCCGTTAATTCTAAGATTTTAGGAAAAAAAGTGATAATAAATAAATTATAGATTATAGAAAATGAGTAATTCCTACATTATGAAAATGTAAAATTTTTATATTTTGTTAGGGGAAACTAAGATTAACTAATGAAATCTTTTTACTATATTATCCTTGATTAAATGTAAATAACATGTGATATACAGTTATATTTAAATTATTTATTTATTTAACATGTAAATAGTTTATTTAAATTTTTATGAAATTAATTAAAAATTAGAAATTACTAAAACTATTTTTATATATCAAATAGTATTTTTGTAAATAAATATTTTCAAAATACTTGAATATAAATATATATATATATATATATTTTGTTCAATTACAGGAAACCTAATTCCTATCCTAACATTGATTGTCTCAACACAGAATAAACACGTAGATTGACCTTAGTTATGAAAATATGTTATTTGCAAATTTTATGTCATAATATTTAGTTAATATATTTTAGGCTTTATTGCAAAAATAATATATTTAACAAGTAAATTATGAAAATATTTTATAATTATTTTCAAAATAGAAAATGTTTATTCTCTTAAAAACATAATCCATGTTGATTAAACAGAAAACCTTTGAATAGCATTTTAAAAATTTTTTTTTTTCATAATATAATTTCTATAAAACCAAGTTTTTAATTTTAAAAATGTTGCCTTTATTGAAACTATTTAATTTTAAAAAATAATTTTTTATAATATATTTACAATAAAGATCATGTTTTTAAGTCCTTTTTTTATGAAACTTAGAATTATGAAAAGTAATTTTTTTCCTTAATTTAATTTTAACAAAAACTTCATTTTTAATCTTCAAAACATTGTCTTTGTTTAAATATAGAATTATGAAAAATAAACTTTTTTTTTTCATAATATATATTCAATAAAGATAATGTTTTTAATCTTAAAAACATTATTGAAATTTAAAATCTGGAAAATATTTTTTTTCATAATATAGTTTTCACAAAGATCAAAATTTTAATCTTAAATCTTTGTCTTTGTTGAGATTACAACATTATGAATGATAATATTTTCATAATATATTTTTAACAAAAATTATGTTATTAACATTTAAAACTTGTCTTTGTTGTTTTGAAAAATAAAATTTTCATAATTCAACAAGGATCATATTTTTAATTTTAAAAATGTTGTCTTTATTGAAAATATAATATTTTAAAAAGCAAAAATTTTTTATATTATATTTTCAATAAAAATAACGTTTTTCATTTTAAAACATTGTTGAAATTGATATTTAAAAAAAAATCTTATAAAAAATCTATATTTCGTTTTAATCTTATAAATGTTGTATTTTTCTTAGTCAACAATTTTAAAATTAACTTTTTTATCAATTAAAAAAATAATTTAATTATAGATCCACATATAATATTTAATTATTGCCTTTTTACATGTTAAATTTGATCTCGACTTATCATATAATTACTTTCATATAAAAAAGTTAATTAGATCATAAAAATTATTTATTCAAAATAAAAAAGCTGTAAAATTTGAATTTCAAAATATTATAAAATCTTCAGGAAAAGTGAGTTTTAAAATTTTTTTATTTTTCTTTGTTAGACACAGTTGAAAATATCGAATTTCTGGATGTCATAAACAGTAACAAATATCAAATAGGTGAATCACTTTACGAAAAGAAAAAATTAAAATCCAATCACCAAGCGCCCGAAAACAATTTTTACCTTAATAAAATCGGATCTAGAAAGATTTGAACACGGATAAAACCGGGTAGGGTCATGTTTCGTTCACTCCCCTACACTACAAAATGATTAGTGTAATAAAGCGGATGGATCCAAACAAAAGCCAAGCAGGGGAATCCGGGACCCAGCTATTTAAACCCCTCCAAAATCAAAATACCCAAAAACACATCGCACAGCAAAATTCATTCTTCCAAGTTCGATCGCCGGCGGCGAATCTCCTCTCTGTTTATTGTTGACGACGCTCTATCTCAGGTTCGCTATCTTTCTTCCTCCATTTCCTATCTAGATCTTTATTTCTTCTTTTTTTTTTTTAATAAAGGATTGATTGATAATTTGATTTGGGCTGTTATTTGAGTGTTTGATTAGCGGAATTTCCGGTTAAGTGTGCAAATTCAAGTGGTTACTTTTTTTATCCCGATTAGGTAAATGGAAGGAAAATTTTCATTTTCTGATTTGAAAATTCTCGAATCTGATTCCGATTTCATTATTATGGCTTGCATTTTCATAACTCAATTTAATTCAAAGCCAGAAGATTTGATCATTAAGTTCAAAGATAATTTTTAAAAAATTAGCTGAATTGAAGCCTTACTGGAATTGAGTTCAATCAATTCAATCGTTTAGATGAGAGATTTCTCTTTCTGTACGCTGCCAGTGTCCCCATTTCACCAAACATATATCTCATTTTACTAGCCAAAATCAAAAGATTTTTTTTTTCTTTTGCCCGTGAATTACATTATAGGGGCAAATGATTCTATCTTTTCATTTTTTTCATTGGTCTGTTTCTAAATTTAATATTGAGGATATATTTGTGATCAATGATCCTTTGAGTCCTAGTGTCTGATAATAAATCTTAGATACTCACTTTTGAGTCCTAGTGTTGGTCATAAATCTTAGATACTCACGATCACTTGTTTTTATGGTAGTGCTTTGGGTTTGTTCTCGTATTTTGGATTGGCTTTGTTTCTTTTCATGATTGGTTTCTGGTTTTGCATGTGATACTGAATTATGAGTGGAATTTTGCTGAGAGGGTATTACTTGATAGGGTGGAATGAGCATGGATTAGATACTCATAAATTATTGGGTGTTTCCTCCTCCCCTCCTCCTCCATTTTTTTTTTAAATTTTAGACTTCATGAGCTCTGAGTTGGGGTTAGTTTTGTGTAATTAGTTTTGAAATTTTGCTAACAAATCTTAATTAGATACTTTGAACACACATGGGTTATCACTCAAACACACAAAAGAAATATTTGTTATTTACTTTTCCAAACTATCGCATTTGTATTGGAGAAGATCTGGTTAAGATATAAAAAGGACGTTTAGGCTATTTAAATTGTGGAAAAGAAACAAAAAAGAAAAGACAAAATGTAATCGATATGTGAAAGGTTATTATAAAGCTAAATTTGCATTTGGTGGTGAATTGCTTCTTGCTATACAAAAATGAAAGAAAAAATAAAGCCAAATTAGCTATATTGAATATGAATATTGTAGTAATTGTGCCATTTGGGCTCCTGTCTACATAGGATGCCATTCAATTTTTTCTTGTTTACAAATTTGTTTGGTGTTGTTATAGTGTGAACTTGCCCCATTCTCCTCTTTATTTTGATGGCAAAATGTCGCTATTCGTGTTAAAGAGATGCATGCATTAGACAATTAATTCATAGGATTTGACTTTTATTTAGTGCTCCATGGATCTCTGATCTGGTCTCTTGATGTAGTCCTTTGTTCTAATTGCTTGTGCAATTTAAATCCTTTGATAAAACTGCTAACTAAAGGGTTGAAGAATTAAGCTAAATTCTATGATATGCCTTTAAGATTGAAAAATTATTGAGATTTGTATTTATTTCCTTCTGTTTGAAGGTAGGCTAAGCAACATTCTTTCTGTTATTTTAATCCTGCTGATATTTTCTCTTGGTTCAGATATTTGAAAGATGTCCGGTCAAAACCAGCGGTTGAATGTGGTTCCAACCGTTACAATGCTGGGAGTCATGAAAGCTCGGCTTGTGGGTGCTACAAGAGGTCATGCACTTCTCAAGAAGAAGAGTGATGCCCTAACTGTACAATTTCGTCAGATTCTTAAGAAGATAGTCTTGACAAAAGAATCAATGGGAGAGATTATGAAAACCTCTTCGTTTGCTCTAACTGAGGCTAAGTATGTTGCTGGTGAGAACATCAAACACATTGTCCTTGAGAATGTTCAAAATGCTTCTCTTAAAGTTCGATCCCGACAAGAGAATGTTGCGGGAGTGAAGCTTCCCAAGTTTGAGTATTTCACAGAAGGTGAGACCAAAAATGATCTGACTGGTTTGGCCAGAGGTGGGCAACAGGTCCAACAGTGCCGTGCTGCTTATGTGAAAGCAATTGAGGTTCTAGTTGAGCTTGCTTCTCTTCAGACATCATTCTTAACACTTGATGAGGCAATCAAGACCACAAATCGTAGAGTTAATGCTTTAGAGAATGTTGTGAAGCCAAGGTTGGAGAATACGATAAGTTACATTAAGGGAGAGTTGGATGAGCTTGAAAGGGAGGATTTCTTCAGGCTAAAGAAGATACAAGGTTATAAAAAGAGGGAGATAGAGAGACAGGTTGCTGCTGCCAAGCTGTTTGCTGAGGATAAGTTTGCAGAGAAGGTTTCCTTGCAAAAAGGGGTTTCAATAAATTCAGCTCACAATTTGCTATCTGCAGCCATGGATAAGGATGAAGATATTATTTTTTAATGAAGAGGTTAGTCTATATGTTCTTTCCTAAGATTTGTGGGTTTCTATTGGTGCTTGTTTGATGGTGGGAGATTCCTTTTATTATTTAGGTGTCGTTCTGAATAAATGTTATATGTATGTCTCTAGTTATTGTGTATTATTATTAATGATCAGATATTCACTATTTTTTTTCTTGACAATAGACATACACCATTTCAAGGCTCTAAGGTATGTTACCTGAATGGTCTTTTGTCTGACTACCGTAGTATATTTTGTGGAAGCTGGCACAGTATGAAATATATGATACGTTGCCGTCTTACACATACTGAGTCTGTAGGACCTACAACTTGGTTTCAAGTTGATTTCTGAAAAAAAGTTGCTTGAAAAAAATACAATGTGCGTGAGCTTTTGCAGCTGGGTGCATTTTATGTTTGATTAATTTTCAGACAATCCTTTCTACCTCTCTTGGATTTTTTTGGTTACTATATCTAAAACCATTATGCATTTTTACTTACATGAGTGGAAAATTATAGATCATAGACAAATAGATTATCATCAAGTTTTTAAAGCAATTATGTTCTTGTTATTCTTCAGAATGGTTGGGAAGTGCTCTGGGTTAACAAAAAAGATATAAAAGAGACACCAAGGTCTTCTGCACTCCATAGGTTACGATTGTTAAGATTGACGAGTGGATGGCCTTTATTTATTAGATATTAGAAGGCATAGTAACCTAGGCTACCTAGCTCTAGTGGTTGGGCTGGGCATATCTAGAAGGGCATAGGTCATGAAAAATAAATGTATTTCAATTATCTGATAAGTTTTGGGAAAACATCATGGCTAAAGAATGTGGTTATTCCAGCCAAAGAAGTCAAGCCTAGGTCTTATTTTTGTTTAGAGGCAAAAAAAACAAAAAAGTGCATTCTTGTGAAAGGCCCTCGCTTGTGAACTTGAAGCTGGTTCCAGTTATAATATGGACGGATGGAAGCCCCTTGACAATTAATAGGAACAGAGAGTTGGATTTATTTTTGGTTCATACAGCAAAATAGCAGATATATTACTCAAAACAAATAGAACCAGCTATACATGAATCGAAATAGGTTGAGGAGCTATTTCAATTGGCTTTCTTGATTCATGGAAGAGGACGTGTGATCTTGGATTTCTGTAACTAAAATTAGAATGTTTGTCTTAAGTTGTCATCTACTTCCTATATGCAAGTGTTGGTATCTTTTCCAGTGGAGAAAGGAGGCGGACATGGAAGTCCTTGATGAGCTGTCACAAGAAGAATGGTCAGGGGACAGAGGAGGTAGTCAAGTCAGCAATGTATCAGAGAGGGAAGGAAAAAGGAAGTTGAGGAAGAAAGAATAGGTTGGAGAAGGTAAAAGAAGAGTATGGGGTTCAAAATGAATTTACCTTAGGTCTGATCTTACTTTCATTGTCTGAGCAAGAGCTGGTTGATTGCGACACCAACGATCAAGGCGATCAAAAGCAAAGCTGCTTGCTTTTCCAATTCAACCTGAAAAAACAAATGCCTAACAACTGAACGTCGAATTATCCCTACAAGGGAGTTGATGGCACATGCAATACCAACAAGGAAGCCAACCAAACAAGAAGATTGCCAAACGATAGTGAAGAAGCATTACAGAATGCGGTTGCAAACCAACCAGTTTATGATATGCTGGAGGGTTTGCGTTCCAGTTCTACTCAAGGTTACAAGAAATTGTGCATTGCACTGGCCTGGTTAGGTGTGGATCGAGTGGATGATGATGATGATGATGGGACTGAGTATTGGTTGGTGAACAACTCATGGGGCAATGCCTCGGGTACATTAGGATGCAATACAAGGCCTTTGTGGCATAGCAATGCAATTTTCATACCCTACTGCATAACCCTCAACTTCATTATATGCTGCTCTACGTGAATGAAAAATAGTAGTGCAAAAAATGGTTCTTACGGGAACCCCAGTGTTCAATTTTCAATGTTTTATGAATATTAAGTAAAAGGATTCTCTGTTGCAAAGGAATGATAAATGTTAATGACGATTTATACGCCATTGTCATCCTACTAATTTATTTTCAATCTTTTGTTTAAATTAATGTTCATTATCTGCCTTTTGAGAATTACTAACATTCTTATTGCCGACCATGGGCGTAGCCACCTTATACCAGTGGGTCAATTGACACCACCCAATTTTTAAAATTAACAATATATATGTAATTAGCATAAAAAGAGTTTTTTTTTTTTTGACACAACTAAAATTTATTAAAAAAGGGTCAAAAGTCATTTTCATTTTATACTTTTACGTTCATTTTAATTTAAAAATTCTAATAATTTTCATTCATTATGAGTATAAGTTTAATTCGTGAGTTCAAAATTTTTTTACCATGGTTTTTTATTGTTGTTTTAGGTCAAATTATATCAAAAATTTTTGTATTCTGTTAAAATTTAAAATTTAATCAATTTACTATAACTCATATTAATTTAATCTTCATACTACTTCGATTTAAAAATTTTAGTTCATTCACTAATTTCGTTAAACTTTTTATCTTAAACATGTTAATGTGGCCATTCACTTAATGACATTAGCGTTGAATTTGCTGACATAGAGTTATCTTTAGTAACTTGACAACTTAGATAAATAAAATCACTGTCAAATTATATAAATGGTCCTTATAATCACTTGAAATTTGAACTTTAGTTAATTTAGTATAATTCATAAAAATCTTATCCTTGAACAAGTTAAATTTGATAATATTGGTTTTATTATTAATAAAAATCATTTTTTATTTTTCTCAAAAATTAGATTTTATTTTTTAAAAAATAAATATTTCAAAATTTCATATTTTAAAAATATTTTAAATTTTTAGAAATCATATTTTCAAATTTTTTAAAATTCAAAATTTCAAATTTGTTAGAAATTTTCATTTTTTAGAATATTAAATTTTTTTTTCAATATTTTAAATTTTTAAATAAAATTCTTTTTGTTAAAGCTTTTATAATTTTCAAATTTTAACTTTTTTTAGTTAATTAAAATATTTAATTGTTTTAATTTTTGGGATTTTTTATAAAATTTTCTATGTATGTTTTAATTTTTTATATTTTTAGAATTTTTTCTATTTTAGTATATATATTTGAAGTGAAAGAGGTTAAAATTTTGAAATAAAACAGAGTAATGATGAAACAAAAAGAGCTTCTGAAATGAATTTATTCTTCACTTGAATAATATAAAAAAAAAAACATGTAGAAAATTTTTAAAATCCATAAAATCTTTTACAAAAATAAAAAATGAACAAAATTTTCTATAAAACATTAAATTTGAGAATATAAAAAATTTAATAAAAATTCAAAAAAATTAACCACAATAAAATTAATTATTTTGAATGAATAAAAATGTTAAAATTTGAAAAAATACAAAACTTCAAAATATGAAATTGAAAAAATAAAATATTGAAAAAAATAAAATTTATATTATTAAAAAATCTATAAAATTTCAAAATAAACTCAAAATATTTATTTTTTAAAATATGATTTCAAAGTAATCAAAAACTATAATTTTTAAAAAATTAAAGTATTTAAATTATAAATTTAATATTTTAAGAAAATAAGAAAATTTTTTAAAATTTTGCAAAATAGAATTTTTTTAAAGATTAAAATATGAATTTTGAAAAAATTAAAAAAATAATTTTTATTAATAATTAAACCAACATTATCAAATTTGACTTGTAGGATGACAAAATTTTTATAAATTATATTAGAAGAATTAAAATTCAAATTTCTTATGAATACAAGTTTTATTTATATAATTTGATAATTGATTTAATTCATTTAAATTATTATGTTAATAAAATCAATGTCACATTAACAAAGTCATTGTCTATATTATCAAATCAAAAATTATGTTAATATTTTTAACGATAAAAATTTAATGAAGTTAATGATTAGATTATAGTTATCAAATTAATATAATATGATTTATATAAATTACAATACGTAAACTAAATTTCAAACTTTGGCAGGACCTCTAACATAGTTTAATCGATTTTTTATTAATCATATTTTTAGTCTTATTTTAATTTTTTTACTTTCTTCTTATTTAAATTCTTCGCTTTCTTGTCATCACATTTACCAATTATAATTTTTCCCTTTATGCGTGTGATCTGATTTATAAATGATTGGTTTGATGTACTTGATTGATAATTATTTCATTTGATAGTACAAATCTAATATCATTATAAATAAAATAAAAAAATATATTGTATCATCTATCTACTTGCATTATTTTTTTAGCATTTGATTGTCATGAAACAAAAATAAAAAAAAAAAAATTGTGTAGCACTGGTAATGAAACCATTGAAATAAATTTTTATTATGGATAAATTGTAAGAAAATATGTATTTATTTAAAAATTTTATTATATTGTGAGTTATTTTTTTATATTTAATTTTATCAATGTTATATTATGTAACAAAATATTATAAACAAAAACATAATATTATAATATTAACCCCACTAACACAGATTACTAGCTGTTTTGTTTATTTACTTGAATAGAAAATTTTCATACCTCTCAATATCATTGACTAATTTAAATTATGCACCATTAACTAATCGAAAATTTTATACGCAGCCAAGTTTTTGCTACTTGCAGGCAAAATAAATTTTTTTAAAGTGAAAGAAATTAACTTTATTGAAATTATTTTTTAATCTTTCAACATCCCATTTCAAGATATACATTTTCGAAAAAGTAAAAAATCTAACTAAATATATATATTTGAAAATAAAATTGTTATATCTATCTACTAGGTCAACAAAGTTAAATCTTTTAGACACTTAACCAATACATGGGTTGACATATAGAACACTTATATTAAATTTACTAAAATATGATTTGTCTGACATATCTACTAACATTTCATCAAATCATCATTTCAAAATAAAATATTTGATCTTCAATTCGCTTAAAATTATTAGATAAAATTTATGTTTACTTGAAATTATTAATGTAATTTACAATTATTTATGTGAATCATTTTCGAGTTTTATATAAATTCATTATCAACTAATTTTCTCAATTAAATTATCATCTTTATCTTATGTATAAAGTAAATGAGAGACTAATTAAGATTTAAGCATTCTCTCTATTGTAGCTTAAACATTCTCTCCATTGTAGCTTCCCCAACATACTTCTACCTTCTTCCTTACTAAATCTTAAATATTTCACTGACTTTAGTATCTAAGTGTGTTCTAGAAAACCTAACTCCAGCACTCTTTGATCATGCTTTCTGATTACTGTATCATTTTTCCTCACCTTCAACTTTCAATCAGTTTTCATTTAACTAAGATACCCAAAAATACCATCAACAAAATATAATTTTAAGCAGATATGCACTTTTAGGGAGGCACAAAATTTTTAGGACGTATTAGATGTTTTTTATGGATTTGAAGATCCGGAAGGCTTGCAATATATATCTTGATATATCTTGCAAGAAAAAAAAAGATATATCTTGATACATTGAAGTAGAGAAGAAGCACAAAAAGGTTTCACAAAGATCGCGAACCCTGGCAAAGCTACACTTGTGGCTCTCGGGAAGGCGTTCCCTGACCAGCTTATCATAATGCAAGAGTTTCTGATCGATGGGTATCTTAAAAACACCAACTGCGATGACCCAGATCTCACGAAGAAGCTAAGCTCCTGTGGAAATTAGTAAGTTTCATTCTTAAATAAAATAACCTT